AATTCCTTCTACTCCCTCCACATCTGCTATGTGTTATCTGGCACTCACCTCTGACCCTGATATTCATCATAAGAATAAGAATTGCATCCTATTCAGCTGCTTGTGTGCACTTTAACTCCAGTGATCACTGGCTGTTGAAATAGTATGTGCTGGGAGGAGAAATTGCTGAGACATCATCCGGGTTCAAACTGGACTCTGCTTTCTTGTGTACTTTCAGATAATTAAACAGAAGTCTAGGGATAAGCAGGTCAGCACAGTATCCTGGGGATGAAGCTTGGTATAGTTCAGGATTGTAGTGGCTAGTGAATGTAAAAAAATAAGTTCAGTGAAAAGGACTTTTGAGTTCTGTTTGTAAGCTGCTGTATCAAATGATATTATGCATCTGCACAGAGAGGCAGTATTGTCCATGAAAGCACTAAGTTCAAAAGTACGTTTGTGATGCAGACAACAGTTGGTGATCCTCCTCCTTTCATGTAATAACACCACCCTCCATAACCTGGTGGTATCATTTAGGGAATGAAATAATATTTGTTGTAAGCAACAGTTTTAAAATATGGTCTTATATGTGAAGATTCATGTGTTAGGATGAATACCTCACTAAACAGAATCCATCTGAAATTTTCCTTTTTTCACAAGGATGAAGATAATTACTCTTCAGACACTGTGGAGGAAGAAATAAAACTGCCAATTTGCTTTCCAATGGTGACTCAATTTAAACTTTGGGAAATTTACCAATTCTTTGATTACTAAAGACTTTCTGGTACTTGTTCTCTTCTTTCCTGGTAGAGGTGTGAAGGAGGAACCCTCTGCTGGCCCCTAATCTTCAAACTCATCTTCAATTGCATTATGATGATAGTTAGAGAGCAGTGGGAGCTAAATGTGAATTTGGCCTGTCGGATAAACTGCAAAAATCTTAAGGGCTTTTAGCTGCCAAGTTTATCTTACTCTCTCCAACCCTTTTGATTTTCAGAAAAAAAGATTTGAGAAGCAATGGTATTGTGAGACCAATGTGATTTAACAACTGCCACTCCTGCCCTTTGGTGCTACAAGCCTCAACTCTGCAGAAAACCAAAATCAAGATCTCCTTGTACCCACTCTAAAGTACTCACACTTTGAGGTGATCTCTGGCAGTCCAGCAAAAGATGTTCTTGCATGTGCACTTCTAGTCAGAAGGCCATCATGTGGATTACAAGCACCTAGTAGTGCTCAGTTATACATACCAATTATCAGGATATGAATAGATTTATTTTTTCCCTTTTAAATTGTTTATGCTTCTTCACCTGCCAAGATTGTTTCCTTGAGCATGTCTGTTTTTATATTTAGCAAAATTAACAAGGGATGAAATAGGTGCTGAGGATGTTAATTATGTAATTATAGGAGCAAAGACATACTGTGTAATGGGCAGAGAAGAAAAATGACAAAGACCTTACATGAGGAAATTAAATCCCATGTTAGGTTTTTGATTAAGGTTCTGATTTTTACTGTGTTGCTAGTGGTCACTGGTGACCTCAGATGTAAAGGTGAAAAGTTTTATTTCTTGTTTGCATTTATTTAAGTACGCACATGTGCATCTGCTATATAGTCACATTAGTTGGGAGGGGCTTATCAGCAGATTAAAATATGGAAGGCAGGATTCTCATCCAGGAAATCATCTGTTTGAAAAAGACTGTAAAATGAAATGAAAAGGATTGTATGAACCTTAGTGGTATCTAAGTGGTTTCAGCTTGTGCATTGTTAAAAATCATGCAGTGTCCTTTGGTGCCCTTTTCATCTTGTTTGTTTTAATAAAGAAGACCAGTTAGTTTGAAAGGTAGTTCTCTATTGGAATTGACTTCTGATCACCTTATCACTTCACAATTCTTTATACATCAGGAACACTTGAAAATATGTGCACTTGTTTGCGGGGATTTTTCTTTTCCTCCGGAGAGATTCAATTATTTATGCTAGAATTATTCTTATTGTGAGTTATTTTTATAATTGAATCAAAACTGTGTAGGCTGATACAGCCCCAAGTTACTGTTGTGATCTGAAAAATCCTCAAAATAGCTGAATAGAATAACTTTGTCACTTGTTTGTCATACCAGTTATGACAATGGGTCATTCCATCGATGTCTAAAATGATCTTTAGCCACATTTTATGAAGCCAGAACTGTAATCCAATAACAATTTTCTGGCTAAGTGCTTCTCAGTTGCCACTGGGGACTATGTGCATCACTGTTGATGCTCTTAAAATGAGTTTAAGTTAAAAGGACACAAATTTCATATTTCTTTCCTTATTTTCTTGAGAGTAATCTAAGAAAATAATATTTTAAATAATTGCATTCTGGTTCCTGAGGGATATCAGCATAATTGCATTGAGGATACCTTTATTTTTTTATGCATGTATTTATTAACAAAGAACTACATTCCATCTGTAAACCAAATGATTGGTCCACTGGCACAAAACAATAAAGTAATGTAACCTCTGGTTCATTAAATTGGAATATAGGGATTGAATTACTAATTTATGTTGGTTTGAATTTCATGTTATAAATTATAAGATTCTAAGGTGTAAGGGAAAAATGTTTCCCATTATGTAGGCTACCTATATTTCCTGCCAGGAAAATTTATGTAAGACTCATTGAAAGGAGAGGTACTGAAAACCAAGACTGGCATGGTTCATCTGGTGCTTTGGTGGGCTCTTCACAGAAAGCACAGCTGAAAAAAACCCCAAGACAAACCAAGAAAGCATAAACTCATATTTAAACTGATAATATTCTGTAGGAGTCGCTTTTAAATATGGATAATGTGAAATGCTGGTTTCTGAAACTCTGCAATATGAAGGTCAGGTAGCAAAAGAAATTAACAATGAGAAAGAGAGATGCTTCATAAATCTTTAGTGGTTTCATTTCATTTCTGCATTGTGTCTACTGCAATCCACTCTAGTGTTTTATTCACTGTAATCTCAAATTCAAAACTTTCTTATGAATTTCAATCTGCTATTAAGTTCACTCTATTCTGATCATTTTAGTTTGATTTCTGTGTTTAACAGTCTCTGGAGCTGTTTGTAGAAGCAAATATAAAACCCATATAAGACAATATGTTCTCTTCAGTGTTATTATGTTGACTGGATTCCTGCTGGGACCTAGTCCTCTGATATCACAGTTGAAGTATGAACTGGCTCTTATCTCAGCCCATGAGACCACAGAAAAGTCACTTTCTGTGAACAGTGTGTGCCTCAGTGTTATACCTCTTCAAAAAGTTGTGTTCATTTCCTTCTTGAGTAACACAAAGTGTTTCACAAAGGCTAGCCTCAGATTTTTGGTAAATAATATTTTTTAGTAAATATTAGCTAAGCTTTCTCTTCCTTACAAACAATGGGTAATCTAAGCTACCTGTATGGCAATCTGTCATGAATATTTAGGAACTGAAAATTGATTTAATGAATTTGAGATGACGTGGTGTTTCAAAATTTCAGCAATGGAGCCACACATACTATGAATTTAAACTGCCTCCCTTCTTCTCCACTCTGGGCTTTTGTTTGGAAACCAGATAGGGACAGCAGGGTGTTTGTCTATTCTGTACCAAGTCTCAATTTTTACTGGGTTTTAAGGAAGCCACTACAGGAAGTAGTTTAATACTTCCATGAAATAGCATGTGACTTGCTTGTTTCACAGTGTTTTTCAGGTGGAAAATATCATTATGATGGGGTGGTTTGCCTGCTTTCCTAGCAGGAAATCTAGGCTTCATCTGCACAAAACTTACCAGTTATTTGATTACTCATTAACATACTTTGAAGCGCCATAAATTTTGATACAGAAAACAAAAGATCAAGGTTCTTCCAGGTTAAAATTTGCACTTGCTTCATGGCAGAGGAGATTTCAATCTCTTCTGACCCCAAGGAGAGGCCTGCTCCTCTCCATCCTGAAGTCAGGTGAAGGCTATGAACCCTCAGGCAATTGAGCAGCGATTAAGGCTCTCAGGTCAAAGTAAGGCCAGCCTGAATCAGGTTCCTCAACACTGGTCCTGTCAAGTTTTGAACATCTCCAGTGGCAGGGATTGCACAGTATCTCTGCCTTACATGTTAGCTTTTTACTGTCCTAATGATGATTTTTTTCCCCCTTTAACAATAGTTAATTGCAATATTCCTTGTTGCAACTTGGTGTCCGTTATTTCCCATCCTGTCACTGGTGCACCTCTTTGGAAGAGATTGATGTGCTTGTTCTCTCTTTCTCTTTCTTTCTCTCTCTCTCTCTCTTTCTCACTCTCCCTCCCCCTCTCTCCTACTTCAGAGTGTGTTTGAGACTAGCTAAAATTGCCCTTGTTTTGCTGAACCTTCTTTGTCTTGCAGAGCTTCAGAATTTTCAAGAAACAGTGTTCTGCCTTTTGTAGTTGGACCTTTATTGAATCTCATTTAAACTTGATTGATAAAAAAATTCTTACACTCTTGTGTAAGAATAAGTTTTTCTATTTCAGGGTCTGAAATGTTGGTGCATTCGGGGTCTGTAAAGTGAATAATCTGGATTTGATAACCATACTATTGAAAGCTGGTTTATAAAGGACAGGCCTCTGCAGGTCATACTTTGCTACAGAAACTCGTGTCACTTTGAGTGCATTATCTCCCTGAAACTATGTGTATTTCCCTTGAGGCGATGGCTAAACACCATGAACCTTAATTATTTCCAAAGGCTCAGGGAGGCCCAGACATCCTGAGCTCTAGTTTATGCTGATTGTCCATAACGTACTTGAAGCTTATCTTTCTATACATCATTGACTCACAGTATATAGGCATTTGTATAATAAGAAAACTCTAAATGGAAGAAAGGTGCCAATTATCAAATATGAAATAGATTTCAGGATGCTCAGGCATTCTCTTTTCATTACAGATCTGTCCTTGCTATTCTTGAATCCTGCTGGGAGGGTGCTACTAGAAGGTTTTATGGGTACTTGGCTGGAAAATATATGATTTAAATAAGTTTAATTACTAACTATCTGTTTTGTTTGTGTGGGTTTTTTTCTAGAGTTCTTGAACAGGAGGTAATCTGACACAAAGTGTATTTACAGTATAGGTAAGTGACACAACTGGTTATATGAATTTTTTTGACAGTATTTATTGAAGTGAAATTGGCAGATCAGGAAAGCATGGTGTAGGTTGTGCTCTAGAAGTGTTAGGAAGATGAGAAATACAGATTTGGAGAATGCAGCACATAGCTGTATGTCAATTTAATTTTGAATGTGCACTTCCAAGACATAAAAGTGTATTAGAAATGAGGCCTTTTTCTATATCAGCTCTTTCTTGAATCTCTTCATTGAAACACAAGCTTCCAGGTCTGTAAGTCATTCTCTCATGCCAGATGGGATTTAAGCTGTTGTTTCCTCAGCTACAGTTTTGTGGGTGAATTCCTTTCTCTCTTCTGTGGACATGTACATCCCTACAATCTCCAGTCAGCTGTTTCCTGCCATGCTTCCTCTGCCATTAGAACAAATAAAAACAATAATATTCTGTTATTTTTAAGGGATTGTTACTCTAAATTGGGAGTAATGAGAAAAATTGCTTGAGAAGTCAAGAAGTTGTATTTCTCTCTATTGTGTAATAGAAGATATTTTTTCAAAGTATGTTACTGAATTGTGTACTTCAGAGGTGTCTCTATGAAGAAATAAGTGATCACAAGTTTGAGTTTGTGAGACAACAAAAGTGAGTTGATAGACAAATATGGCCTGAGATATTTAATATCTCAGTAGCATATTATCAGATTAGGAATATTTTCATATCAGGGTAAATCCATACTGGACTCTCTGCTCCAAGGAGCTTTTACTAACACTGGTCAGATGCAGCCCACCTCAGAGGACACTTGCTAGCTGGTCATAATTATTTGCTGATAATAATCCTCTTGGAAGAGTCACATTCAAACCACAGCTCCTATTATCTTTTTCCATTCCTCACATCATCCTTCTTGTCCAACCAATATCTGACTCCACTACTCCTTTGAAGTGGATTTTCTTTTTCAGCTCCAGCACAGGCATTTGTGCATATGCAGCTCCCAGCTGAGTTCCATAGGCCTATATTCCAGATGCCTGTGAGGACCAAAAAAGCCTTGCTGTCTATACCACAGAGTATATGAGAATACATCAGGAAAAAGAAAATATTAGCTGCCTGATAGCAAGGAGCCAACTGCACATGAAGAACTGCTTTAAGGAATTGTGGCAGGAGGAGAAAGAATCTGTCCATTTTGAGTCACCTTTTTTTGTTTGTTGGTTTGTGTATTTTTACTTTGCACTGACAAAGTAGGAGTTCTAAGCCTACTGCTGGGACATCAGTTACTACTTGTTGGAGGTATTGTATTTAATATTGTATGTATTTAATATTGTATGGTATTGTGGACAGGCTGTGAGGGGGTTCTGTGTGAATTCAACTGCTGTGAATTCAGTTTTGTAGTCAGGTAAATGAGCTCTCTTCTACCCCACGTATTTCACTTAGAGCTCTTTTGTTCTCCACCAGTGATCTGTTGGTGACAGGATGAAGTTCAGTTTTGACAAAAAGAGTTCAGGATGGGAGTCTGTTTGTCAGTTAGGAGATCTGTGTGCAGTTGCTGTCCCTGAAACTGCCTCTGTACTCTCTAATTTGCCTATGGACTGCGTATGCAGTGTGAGTCCCACAGATGTGTGGGGACTCTGGGGGAGATGGGCTGTTTGCCTCCTAAATGCTGTCACAGGCTGCATGCCAGCATGTGATCTGTTAGGCTTCACACTTCCATTAATTCTGACAAGGTCCTCTTTTGATCCTTACATGGTGTTGCATGACAGGTTTCAGGGCATCAGAATTGTTACTCTGATGACTGGGTTTGGTATCTAATGCAGGTGAAGGACATAAGGTAAGACAGCTAGGAAGAAAAAGTGAAAGTATGGAGAGGACATTGCAAACATTACTTTAAAATTTGGGGGAAATAGCTTTCTACACTGAGTAGCCAGCACTGGGGTAGGAAGGAGATGTAAGAAATTGGATTTGATATACACATAAGAACCGTTCTTAAAAACTTCAAAGAACAAGTGGTTTCTGCCATAGCACACCTAAACCAGATTGTTTCAGCACACCTAAAAAAGGTTGCATCCTTTCATATTGCAAGTAACATCACAATATTCAGGATTTTTTTTTTTACTTCTTGGAATCTTAAGCATAAAACACCATTCCACACACTTGATTTTTATAAAGTCTGAATTCAGAAGGGATGTAGGGCACTGGATATCCTTTTTTCTGTGTTGGTGCTGGGGGAACTGGAGTCCTAGTTTGAGCATCAGCCCCTTATAAACCATACTAGCCTAATGTTGTTCAGCCAAAAACCAGCCATTGCATTTGTACTTTTTAAGCAAATTGAACAAGTGGAAGTAAAGCAGACAATAGCATGTTTTTTTTCTCACTCACATTTTTAGAAATGCATTTGATAGCCTCACTGTTATAGTTAAGAATGGCAGCCCTGTGGTTCTATCATTTCTATTAAATGGCACTGCTTTAGACTAACTGGCAGTAGGCTTTTTTCTACTCTCCAAGCAGTTGCATTCAGATAACTCCTCAGTCATCAAAGGCTCCTTCTTTGGTTGCACCACAATCATTGTGACAGTTCCAGGTAAGAGTATTTGGCAGGGATAGCTCAGGGGTTCATTCTTTTCAGGATGTTTGCTTTACCTGACATATCTTTTCTGAGTGCCACAGTGATTAGTCATCTGTATATTATTTAAGTAAAGCTAAGAAATAATATTCTTCCCTAGAAGAATATTCTTCCCTAGAAACAGCTAGGGGGTGTATAATAAAAATAATAAATAGTAAATAGTAAAACCCCCTCAGCACTGAAGATGTGCTAGGAGAGATGTTGCACAGCAAGAAAAACACTGTGTAGAGCAGTGTGAGCATGTGTATTCTAGGTAGGGCAGAGACTTGACTGTCATCAAGATTCCCTGAAAATTCTCACTTAAAAATTACTGTAAACAGGATTTTTAAAATTAATTTATTCACAAAGTTAAAGTATGTGGGTTGATAACTTCCACATTGGGCTTTCTCCTGGGGCAAAACAGGAAATGCTATGATCAAAAATGGTTTTGCTGTTTCTGGAAAGGAAGTGAATATGTATTGTTCTGTGTAAAATTTTGAGCATTTTTCCCCCTGAATTGCACCTTTCTTTTGCTATTTCAGTATATCATCAAAATCTATTGTCAAAGCGTGATCTTCTTTCCTTGAAGTAGTGGTTCCTGTTGAGAAAGATGCTATTGTTGCCTTATTTCATGAGCTGAAATGATTAAAGTCTGAAGAGTGACTCTAATTATTCCTAGTGATGCTTCTGAGTCACAGGCTTATCAGTAGGATTCTGTGCCATGGTATTTGTGGAGAGCTGGATAGATCCAAATTTTTAGAAACATGGTCATTTACAAATAAAAGCTGAGATTATGAGCTGAGAGTTTAAATTCAGGATGAAATCTGCTGGATAATGCAAGTACAGCACTCACTCATTGAGTAGTTCAAATATTTTGTTCAAGTATATAAAATCCAATTTTTTTTTCTCTTCTGTTAAGTGTGTGCCTTCAGGCCCTTTTTATTGCATGCTTTTCAGAACTTGCTGCAGAGACAGAACTATTAATTTCCTCCTAGGTTTCTGCATAGCACTTGACACTACAGTGCTTCAAAAACCATTAATGAAGTTATTTTCACAACACCCCCATGAAATGAGGAGGAATTATTGTCCTCATTTGACAGATGGAGACTGGGGCAGAGTAAATCAAAGTTTAAAGCATCTACTAATTTGGGAGTCCAGTTTGAGACATCCTGATCTTATCTTTTTCACAATATTTAACATTGTGTAGTAAGCTGAAAGCACAGTTCCCTTTAATTTCAGCTGCATTTATGAGTGATCAGCACTTTAAGCAAGGCAGACCCCAGGTTTCAAGTTGGGCATGGAGCACATGAGGAACATACAGTTGATAGATGACCTTGAGTGAAAAGCTTGGCTTAAGGAAACTTGTCCTGTATCTCAGACTGTAATATGGAAAAAAACAGAAGTAGACTCCAAATTCTTTGAGGCAACTTTTTAACTACCTGAAGTAGGAAATAGTCTTCTTATTTTCTTTTTTTTTTGTAATTTTTTCCCCCCCTACTGTCTTCACTCATTACATAACTGAATGTCAGCAATGCATGAGGCAGCCCATCTGATCCTTGGGCAGCAGCCTTCTGCCCGGCATTGATTCATCCCACAGGCAAGTCCATGCCACACACTGTAAAGCCAGTGATCTTGTGGAAAACTCAGTTTGCAATTATGTAAATTATGGTTTTAGCTGGGGTAGAGTTAATTTTCTTCACAGTAGATAGTATGGGACTGGTTGCATGATGTGTTTAACTAAATGCCAAACTCTTGTCCTCTCTTTGATCATAAACACTAAAGTTTGAGATGTATCACCAGAGAGAGCTACAGGGTACTAATGAGGTCAGGAGTATAGTGGTGTAAAGTGGCTCTGTGTATTTCCTGTGGGCAGATGCAGTATGAGCAGGGATGATTGCTGTTTAACTGTACTGATTTCCTCCCATTCCCCATCCTTACCCCTTGGTGTTCTACCTAGATCTCCAGCATTGTAGGGTAAGGAGTACTGTGTTTTGCTTGTGTAGAATTTAGTATAATGTAGTCTTGATCAAGGAACTTCAGTTGTTTTGGTGGAGTCTCTCTGTTTTCATGTTGTTCATGTTATCACCTGAAAAACAAAGAGTCTCAACTAGGTAATTGAAGTATTTTCTATAGGGACTGTACTCTATGGACCCCTGAGGTGGTGATCACTGACAGTTTGCTGTGTGTATTGCCCACCTAGAATGTTGCAGGGAGAGTTGCAATTTGTTCTCTAACTTTTGTTTCTCTTAAGTGAATTTAATGTGCTCTATACTTTTCAATTTACCTAAGTACTAGTAGTTTATTAAAAGAGAACATTAAATTGACCTGTATACTTGTATCACAGGACTGTTGTGAAGATTAATAATTAGATAATGTTTATAAAGCACTTTTTATAAGTGAGAAGTGCTATAAAGTGCTAAGTACTA